TTTGGTCTTTTGATGGCGTCGGTGAGTTCTTGCATTTTCTTTTCACAGGTCTTGAGTTGTTTAACTAATAGTTCTTTGGTTTTTCCTTTAATTACCATTTCATCTTCGAGTTCTGAGATTCTGTCTTCTGTTTGTTCTATTCTGCTGGATTGGCCTTCCGTTTTGTTTTGCAATTGTTTCCTTATTTTTTCTGAGGTTTTCCATATCCTAGAGTCACTTCCTCTTTAATGTTGTCTATTTTTGTCCTGAGTTCATTTATCTCTTTATTTATCGTGTTCTTTGTTTCACTTTGGTGTTTATACAGTGCTTCTATGGTTTCTTTTATTTCTTCTTGTGCTTTTTCAAATTCTCTATTTTTGTTGTCTTGGAATTTCTTGAGTGTCTCCTGTACATTTTAGTTGACCATATCCAGTATCATCTCTATAAAATTCTCATTGAGTACCTGTAGTATTTCTTCTTTTAGATTGTTCTTGTGAGCTTCATTGGGTTCTTTGGAGTAGTTTATCTTTATTTTGTTGGAGTCTGGATCTGAGTATGTTTTCATTTCCCTCTGGTTCCTGTACCAACTTTTTTGCTGTGGGGAAACTATTTCCCTGTTTTTTCTGTCTTCCCGTCATTCCCTTGATGTTGTTATTGTCCCTGTACTGTGTGCAATTAAGTATTTTCTAGCTTGTAATAATAACAATGGTGATATTTAAAATGGAAGGTGAGAGGAGATGGAAAGCAAAGAAGTTAAAGAAAAAGGGAAAAACAAATAAAGAAGTAGAAAAAACTAAACAAACAAACAACATAAAAAAGTTTCAAAGATATAAACAGGGAGAGAGAGTGTAGTAATCAACAGTAAGAGACAGAGAGGATTGAAAATAAAAAATAAAATAAAATAAATAAAAAATAAATGAAAAATAAATAAATAAAAATCTCCAAGTTCAAATGCAATAAAGTTTCAGTGTTAATAATTTTGGTGTTTGTCCCTCAGCCTCCAATCCTGGAGATGGTGTCTCAGAATAGTTCTGTTGTTGTCTCATCAAACTAGAAAAAAACAAAACAACACAAAACAACCCCCCCCACAAAGTGTCCCAAGTTCAAATGCAATACAGTTTCAGCAGGCAGGTGTAGTTGGTTGTTGTCTCATCAAAGGTAGGGAGAAAAAAAAAAGAGTCTGGAGACAGTTTTGTGAATGGCTATCTGAGGCTGCGGCTCGCCTGCCCGCTGCTGTCAGCCTGCTGTTGCTGGAGGCTTTATTTATGCAGATATCAGGAGTAACCTTAACACTCACCTGGCCTCTCAGGCTTTGTTTACTTAAGAGTTCTCCTGGGCGCAACTGCCACTGCTACAAGCTTTCCCGTTTCCAGCGCAACTGCACCCACATTCTCAGGCCAGCATGTTTATTTACAGTTCATGTGGGCAGTGGGTCTTCCCCCCTCTCCTGTGGAGTTTTCCTCCCACCACCACTTTTGGAAGCCTTCCCGCTCCTGGTTGCTGGGCGTGTGCTGCTGCTCCTGCCTTCTCCGGCCGGCTTATTTACAGCTTACATGGGAAGTGGGTCTTCTCCCCTCTCCTGTGGAGTTTTCCTCCCACCACCACTTTTACAAGCTTTCCCACTCCGGGTTGCTGGGCGTGTGGCGCCGCTCCTGCTTTCTCCAGCCAGCTTGTGAGGGATTTCCCCTCCCTCTTCTTTGGCACTCAGGGTGCCCCACCCTCTTTGCTACATGTCTTTTTTGTTGTTATTGCATATTATTATTTTTTCTTTTTTTCCCCTGGGTCGGGGTCAGTCTGTCCAGGGGGCTATGCTGATCTGGCCCATGGTTGTCGGAGTACCGCGTACCACTTAGTTCACCTTGTAGTCTGCGTCTTCCCAAGCCATCTGGGTGCTGGCGTTTGGCGGCGGCGCCGGAGCCCTCCTGGTTTCTCCGTTTAACATGGAGTGGAGATGCTATGCGCAGGCTGGAGGTATGGAGGGGTCAAAGTTTTGCCTCTTCTCGGTGGTTTTTCCTGTAAGGTGTATCTCCAGTGTCTCTCCAAGATTTTACTTTAGGAGGCACGCTTTTTGCTTTCTCCCTATAGCCACCATCTTGGAATCTTCGCCAATCTTCATTTTTAATTCAAACTGTTTTGTTCAAAATAGGCTAAAGTGTTAAATTACATTCTTAGGTAATATCCCCTTACCCCTAGACATCTACATTCCCCTCATGTCTTTGTTAAATTGTATTTTAAGTGATGTCATAGACAGGATTGTTTAAATTTAGTTAACTCTCCATGATCTTCAGACGGTAATATTATGTAATTATCTATTCTGCTCTGGTTTGTGTGAACTGGGATGTTGGGGACATTTATAGTTATTGCACTTGGGGAAGTTCTTATGTTACCTTGCTTCTTGTGTGTCTTTCTATAGACATATCTAAAGAAGTAGATTAAGGGTGCTTCCAAGTGCTTTTGTCACAGATAAAGTTAACAGTATTAACCTTATACTAAAAGGACAAAGATAAAAAACGATTAATTTGTCACAATACTTAGTTATAACTGTTAATATGTGACCTGCTGTTAGTGTACATGTAAAAACAAGGTGTCTTTAATTCCAACCAGATAAAATATAATATCTATACTGCTAAATCTGCATTTCTCCCATAAAACTGATGGTCTTAAAAACTAAATATGATCCTATTCGTCAGAAGAGTCTAAGATTTGACTCTGTAAGTAAAAGCAGTAGGGAATGAAATGGTTAAAAGACTTAGCCAGAGGAAAGCCATTAATCAGGTGTCCGGAGAGAAGCCATTAATCAGGTGCCACCTTAGTTTTAAGCAGAAAGGGGTTTATGACAAATCTAATTCCCATAGAGATGAGGAAAACAGAAGGAGCCAAAGTAGGATGTGGGTAAATGGTTGTGTTGATTGTGTTCACTTATGCTTTGCAATGGTTGTTAAGCCATTGTTTTGTGTCTGTACCTGGGCTACCTTGCTTTGAAACGATCATCAAACAGGACATGGTTGTACCTTTATAAACCCTGCTTAAAGTCAGAACAGGGCTGCTCTATGGGCCAGCAACCTGTTGGTCAGAGCAGTCACCAGTTGGCAAATAAAGCCTCTCCTTGAAAGTCTTTTTGGGTGGTCGTGCCTCATTCGACTCATAACAAAGCCATGGCCATCTTCCTCCTACATCATTGCCATAGTGCTACTGCCTCCTCTTCCTACTTTTTGCTTTTGATTTTTTTTTTACAACAGCTACACTGTTATATCATGTCTTCTCAAAACCCTGCAACTGCTGCCCATTCCTCTCAGAATGAAATCCAAAATACTTAAAAGGCCTTGGGAGATTTGGCCCTCTGCTCTCTCTCTGACCTGTCCTATAAATCACTGGCTTGTACAGAACTCTACAATAATATTACCTTAAATATGCCACCAAAGTCCCAGTATAGGGCCTTTGCCCTAACATTTCCTTCTGCTTGGGGAATCATTGACTTACTCTCTTACCCCTTCAAGTCTTGGCTCTGATCCATCTTCTTAATGGTCTACTTCCCATCTCTCTCTCTTGCCCTAACATTTGAGCCACACTTCCAGCCCTTTTTTGCTTTTAATTATTTTTCAGATAGAGTATTGCACTTCTGTACCTAGGCCAACAGCCTTGGACTATGATCCTCTTACTTATGCCTCCTGTGTACCTGGGATTAAAGGTGTGTACCATCATGCCTGGCTTGTTCTTTGAGATGAGGGCCTTGCTAACTTTTTTTCCTAGACTGGCCTCAGACTATGATCCTCCTATCTCCACCTGACAATTAGCTTGCGATTACAGGCATTAGCTATAATCTCTTATCTCTCTTTGAATGATCTTTACCACCTATAACAATTTTTAGTATAGTGTATACTTTTTAATCTTTTCCTGATAGAATTGTTCACTGGTATATCCCAAACTATCAAAGATATGGTTTGATTAGAATAAGCACTCAATAAATGTAACTAATTTTGAGAACAATAGGCATGGATATGGAAATCATATTTAAATTCACATCTGCCAGCATACTCACTGCCTTTGTAAAGATGAGCAATGGTCTCACTTCTTGTTCAAGGTGTCCCTTTGAACCAATGTAACTGGTTTCAATAAGAATAGGGGATTGAGCTGGATGCCAGTGGCTCATGCCTGTAATCCTAGCTACTCAGGAAGTGGAGATCAGGAGGATCAAGGTTCAAAGCCATCATGGGCAAATAGTTTGCAAGAACCTATCTCAAAACTACCAAAGTAAAGAAGGACTGGTGGAGTGGCTCAAGTGGTAGAGTGCCTGCCTAGCAAGTGTGAGTCCTTGAGTTCAAACTCCAGAACCCTCCATCAAAAAAAAAAAAAAAAAGAAGATTGAGTGCTTGTTGTCAGAGACAGCATCTCTTAACAAAGTTATTCAATTTCCAATTGCTGCTAGTGGCCTGGCTACCTCAACTCTGAATTCATCTCTTTTGACATTACTGAAAGAAGTCAGAAATGATAAGCACACCCCATTTGGATCACTCCTTGTATTTTCTCTAACAGTGCAGCCTGATTGCTACCACATCTGCCTTACAATGCAGTAGGAGGGAAAGGCAGTCTGATCAAATATCATGCCTAAAAAATAGGAATATTCAGTTTTTGTAGCCCCATTTGGATAGATACACCTTCTTCATGGCCCTATTAATGTAACATTTGAGTTTTTTTTTTTTAACCCTCAAAACCCACTTCAAGGTTCAACATTTTTATGGCTTTAGAGAAGTTTTAAGAGAACACATCAATATCAACAAATACAATGTTTATTTTAATTTTATATAAAGAAATACGGAGGCAGGCAGACCAGAGTTGGCATGACTGTTCCACAAAATCATCAGGGTTGCAGAATCCTTCTGTATTTCTGCTCCACCATCCACAACACCCAGACACCATTCTCAAAGTCCTCATGAGACTATCAGGGATAACCTTAAATGTCTGCATTGTAGCTAGGGAAAAGAAGAAACAGAATTTCTTAAATATTTTACACAATACCATTTCTATCATGTCAGCCTGCAAGGGAGACTGAGAAAGTTTTTCAGCCCAAGATTAAAGAAGGGAAATATGGACATTGTTATCAAAGAAGGAAAACTGGACATTTGGGTAGAAGACTCCTTTCTTTAATCATTTCTATTGCAAAATGTTTGTTAATGTCAATTTTTTAGTTTAATTCAAATGGAACACATTAAAGTTTTTAGGAATTTCCTGGTAGATTTATTTTGACTACTAGTTTTTCTTTTCTAAACAATATTCTTGAAGTCAGAAATAGTGTAAAATACAAGTATTTGGACTTCATGAGAAACTGCTTCACATCTCTCCTAAATTCATTTTTGCTCAACAATCTGCAGATTAACACTGGAAGGTTTCTTTACAGTATGAATTTCCCCTTCTGCTAAATTAGATGAGATTTCAAAGAAAGCTTTATCACACTCAAAACATCATACAGTGCCCCTATCCAAATAATCTGAGATAAATGATTTCTTGATATTAAATACACTCACAAGTGCCCTCCTCTCATGTTCACCCTCTAAAATAGCAATAGTGAAAACAGCACTTCACATTTGTGGTATGGTATGCTCAAGACATTGACCTAAGAGCTTTTTACATGTAGTAACCCATAATACTTCCCAGAATCTTACAAAAGTATCAGTCTTAGGTCTATCTTACAAATGATTAAACCAAAGCAAAGGTTTCTTATGATAAATTTCATAAAGGAAATCAACTAGTAGAGCAAAGACAATGTTGAAAAGGACATTTGCAAAGGGTAAAGGCCTTTCTGTATTTATTACATTAACAATTATTTTCCATTTTAATTTGCTATTGTTTAGTAGTGTTCCAGTAATGAAAGCTTTTCCTAGTGTGTTTTACACTAACAATTCTATTCTCCCATCTAAATTCTTGGATGCTGAGCTTTATGAGAAACATGTCCCATATTCACATTTGGAATTCTTTACTGATAATGGATGACCAGAGATAGCTCTCTCCATGCTAATCATAAACAATCACATAATTCATATAAAAACTTGTGAATCATGACTAAAGTCTATTCCACATTCCTTATAGTCAAAAGCTTTATCACTGATATGAATTCTCTGATGTTGAGTTAGTTGTGAACCACGCGTAAAGGCTTTCCCACATTCCTTGCATCGATAAGGTTTTTCACCAGTATGAACTCGCTGATGTCGGGAAAGATGTGAGCTCTGAGTAAAGGCCTTTCTACATTCTTTGCATTCATAGGGCTTCTCACCAGTATGGATTCTCTGATGTAGAGTAAGTTGAGAGCCATGACTAAAGGCCTTCCCACATTCCTTGCATTCATAGGGTTTTTCTCCAGTATGAATTCGCTGGTGTTGAGTAAGCTGTGAACCGCGAATAAAGGCCTTCCCACATTCCTTACACTGATACGGTTTCTCACCAGTATGAATTCTCTGATGTTGTATAAGCAGTAAGCCACGAGCAAAGGCCTTCCCACATTCATTACATACATAGGGTTTCTCACCAGTATGAAGTCTCTGGTGTTGAGAAAGATGGGAACTTTGAGTAAAGGCCATTCTGCATTCTTTACATTCATAAGGTTTTTCACCAGTATGGATTCTTTGATGTTGAGTAAGCTGTGAGCCACGAATAAAAGACTTTCCACATTCCTTGCATTCATAGGGTTTCTCACCGGTGTGAATTCTCTCATGTTGAGTAAGTTCTGAACCTCGACTAAAATTTTTTCCACACTCTTTACATTCATAGGGTTTTTCACCAGTGTGAATTCTCTGATGTCGAGTGAGGAGTGAACCACGATTAAAGGCCTTTCCACACTCCTTACACTGATAGGGTTTCTCACCAGTATGAATTCTTTGATGTTGAGTAAGTTGTGAGCCATGACTAAAGGTTTTTCCACATTCCTTACACTCATAGGGTTTCTCATTAGTATGAATTCTCTGGTGTTGAGTAAGTTGTGAGCCACGGATAAAGGCCTTCCCACATTCTTCACATTTATAGGGTTTTTCACCAGTATGAATCCGCTGATGTTGCATAAGTAGTGAACCCCGAATAAAGGCTTTTCCACATTCCTTACATTCATATGGCTTTTCCCCATTATGAATTTTCTGATGTTGGGAAAGCTGTGAACCACAAATAAAAGCCTTCCCACATTCCTTACATTCATAGGGTTTCTCACCAGTATGAATTCTTCTATGCAGAATAAGTTGTGAGAGCTGAGTAAAGACCTTTCTACATTCCTTACATTCATAGAGCTTCTCACCAGTATGAAGTCTCTGATGCAAAGTAAGTTGTGAGTTCTGAGTAAAGGCCTTCCCACATTCTTTACATTCATAAGGTTTCTCTCCAGTATGGACTTTTTGATGTCGTGTGAGTTGTGAGCTACGAATAAAGGATTTCCCACATTCTTCACATTTATATGGCTTTTCACCAGTATGAATTCTGTGATGTAAAATAAGTTGTGAGCTTTGAGTAAAGGCCTTCCCACATTCCTTGCATGAATAGGGCTTCTCACCAGTATGAAGTCTCTGATGAAGACTGAGCTGAGAATCACGACTAAAGGCTTTCCCACACTGCTTACATTCATAGGGTTTCTCACCAGTATGAATACTCTGATGTTGAGTCAGGTGTGAGGCTCGTCTGAAGGCTTTCCCACATTCCTTACATTTATAGGGCTTCTCTGAAGAAAGACATCTTGGATGTTGAGGTATGTAGCTATGCTGGTTGAAAATTGACATTTTGTTATATGTGATCATCCCTTGCCTGAAATATTCCCTCTGATTTTCTTGTTGCTTTTCCAACTTGCCTTTGACTTCCAAATAATCTCTGGAATTGGTCTCCGCAAGTCCACAGGTTTCAAGCCTGTCACTCATTTCCCATTGACATACTTCTGTTTCACTAATGTGTTTTATTGGAGATAGGTCCTTAATTATGCACTTTGAAGGCAAGTCTGAAAGATAAGACAAGAGGAACTAATACAAGAGAAAGAGAACTTCTCTAACAGAAAAGGTAAATACCTATAATAATAGGTTTATATCAGTATTTTTGAGTATTTTAATGCTTACCTTTCACATCAAATCCTATGATGCACATAAAATTTCATAAGAATAATACTTACTGTTTCCTAGTCTATAACATTCTACTCTTTTCTATTTCTGTCTCTCTCACAGACTCAAAATCTGTTAAACTGATTTTGGCAGTGCAGTAATGTCATCACCAAGAGTTTGAAAAAATTTGCTTACAATTATCTCCTATATTAACATGTAAAAAGGGCACTTGAGAGATCTGAGAATAATGAAAGCTCACTTGAGAGGAAAAGGACAGCAATTAAGAAAGCTTTTTATTTTATTCTAATTTTTGGAGACAGGTTCTATCTATGTAGCTCAGACTGGCCTCTCAAATCAGCACTCTTCTTACCTCAATATCCTGAGTGCTGGGATTACAGATATGTACCACCATGCCCACCTTAAGAAAGCTTTTCAAGTCAATGTTTTTCAAATATTGGTGGGGATCAAAATAAGGTAGAGAATTTTTTAAAATTATTTATGTCTCTCTCTCTATATATACATACCAAAAAACTGACTCTGAATCTAGTGAATGAGAAAAAGAGCATGGAGAACACTAATATTAATACTTCCTACTAACTAGTTCAGATTGTGATTTGCTATCTCTGCTTAAATTTGTTTAAGTGTTGGGGATGGATCTCAGAACCTTATGTATGCTAGGTCACCGACTTAAATAGTTACTAAAGTAAACTTAAAATGAAATCCACACTCTCCGGTGACTTTCACAAAGCTCTCCATAGTATGATTAGCTTCTCAGCATTGATCCCCATTTGCAAACATGGTAGTTTCTTTTCAGTTCTGAAAAAAGTTACAAGGCTGTTACCAACTTAGAGCTAGCTAGAGCCTGTTCCATTTCATTGCGCTGCTTGGTGTGAGACTTGTCTCAATTTTGTTATCTGTTCTTATATCTCAAGAATGCATTTCTGTTAGTTTAGACCAACACTCCTGAGTAAAACAAATTACAAAAATTAGACAAGTATGAAAAGCTCCTGAATGAAGGCTCTGGAGAACACTGGAAGAAAGAGTTGGTGGTCTAAATGGTGAAAAATATGACAACTCAGAAATGACCCAACTTTTGGGTTCACTTTTTTGCTTAGGCGGAAGTCTCAAAATTCAGGACAAGGCATTAGAGAGGGAGAAAAACTAAGTAGTGTTTTGAAATGTTTATTAAAGCTGAGCAACAATAGTTGAAAAACAGGGCCTATTATACATCTTCCACACATTGGGTTGAAATCTCTGAGGGTTAAGATGTTAAAACATCTTGTGTAAAGTCTTACTATGCAGCTAAGGTTAGCATTGAACTTGTGATCTTCTACCTCAGCAAGGCAAGTGTTGGGATTAAAGGGGCATGCTTTTAATGCTATCAATCATTTTTGCTAATCACCTCAAACTGAGAAATCTAGACTAAGGTAATTCAAGAGTGGAAAACTTAAATCTTTATAGGAGATAAATCATCCAGGACTTGAAGTTATTTTTGTAATTTTTAAACAATGTCTAGCACTCTGTACAATCCATGTAAATAAGAGCTTCTGACAACTGTAAATTAGGAGGAAAAAAACAGACAAAAAAGGTCTATAAGGGCTCAAGTCACCACACTTCCCTCCTAAGTACCTTTGTGCTGTCCCCTCAAAGTCAACCCTTCTTCCCACTCTAGAGTTGGATGTCTGGCTGTGGCTTCCCCACCTAAGGAAACAAAAGCACATCTTACTAAATTTATGATCCTATTTATCACTTCAATTGCCTTGCTTCTTGCATGCTTTCTAATACTACCCATGTTTATCATTAGCTCTCCCCTTTTTTTTCAAACAAGATACTGAGTTGCTTTTCTTTATCTTGTTTCACTATTCATGCCTTGTCTCATGTATTCTCTTATTTACTTGTCTATTCCAGTCCAACTCTATGAGGTCATAAAAGTAGACTATCTTTATGATTTCCTAAGCATGGTTAGAGGGTTAAAACAATGTGAGATCTCTGTAATTTGTAGATTGCTGAGCATGTTAGAAAGTAAGGAGTGTAGGGGGGAGTTATCTGAAACCACAGAAGGAGTGGGAATAACACAGATTCTAGGAATTTTATTGAAAAACAACAACAAAAAGATTCTTAAAAGATGGAAATATAGATCAAGAAAAAGAATACAAAAAGCCTTATATACTCCTGCTAGAAATGCAATATGGTGAAGCCAGGTGCCAGTGGCTCATGCCTGTAATCCTAGCTACCCAGGAGGCAGAGATTAGGAGGATTGTGGTTTGAAGCCAGGCCAGGCAAATAGTTCATGAGAACCTATCTCAAAAAACCCTTCATAAAAATAGGGCTGGCGGAGTGGCTCAAGGTGAAGGCCCTGAGTTCAAGCCCCAGTACTGCAAAAAAAAAAAAAAAGAAAAGAAAAGAAATGCAATATGGTGAAAAAAATTTGGTAGTTTCTTATAAAGTTCAACAAATACTGAGCATATGATCTAGCCATCATATTCATAGATACTTACACTTATATCCAAAGAAATGTCCACACACCAAATACTATAGCTTCTTTAGAAATAATAGCCCCTAAACTGGAAATTACAGAAGTTCTTTAACCATCCAACAATAAACAGAAACCATTGATTCATGTAATAATATGTTTTGCTAAATGAAAAGAGCCAGATCCTAAAGGCTAGATATTTTTATTTCATTTATATGATTCTTTAAAAGACAAAGCTACGTTAATAGAAAACTAATTTTCATAGCCTGGGGAGTGTAGAGGTTGACAAAATTTTCATGAGAGAATCTAGTGAATGGAAGTTAAACTGTTACGTATTACATGTAATAGTGGATTCATTTTTATGTGAATTGTGTATCAGATTGTATGAAGAACATCAAATAAATACTGGGTAAAAGCATCATTTTAAAAGAGAAACTAAAGCAAACCTAGAGGCACCACCATGAAGTGAGAACTAGAGGTAAACATGCTCTGGTTGCATCTACCCCACGGCATTTGCAACCTCTAATTGCCTAAGTCTATAAATTACCAGTCGGAAAAAAATGAAGTTTAAGTTAAGGCCAGTCCAGGCAAAAGTAGTGGTAGACTGAGTCTCAAAAAGAAATAAAATCAAATGGGCTGAGGGCATGGTTCAAGTAGCAGAGTGCTTGCACAGCTTGCAGGAGTGCTGGGTTTATCCACAGTACCTGAAATTTAAAGACAAACAAAAAAACCAGAAATACAAGGTTCTTAAAAAAATTGAAACTATCCAAGACCACAGTTCAAATGAAGGGGGAAGATCCTTTGACCTCAAAGGAAAAGGCTATTTTAAGAAATTTGATTTTTACTCTGAAATGGGAAGCTATTGGATAGTCATGAGAAACAACATAACAGGAAATGACTTTTGTTTAAAAATTAGTCATTCTGGTTGTTTTATCTAAATAAATGAAAGGACAGTCAGAAAGTGCACAACTAGGTGGATAGAAGTAGGAAGGATACGGCAATCCAAATGACTTAGACCCAGATGATTAAGGAGGTGGTAAGATATCATTGAATTTGGGATATCTTTAAAGAGTATTTAATGATACAGAGGATAGGCAATATGAAATAGAGGAAAAAAAAGGAAAACTCCATGTTCTTTGCCTACACAACTAGAACAATGGAAGTTTTACTTACTGAGAATCCATCATTGTGTATAAGGCAATTCTGTCTCTAGTATGAGGGTGAAAAAACCACTGTTAACAACTAGAGTTAAGATAAATGATCAAAGGATACAGATTATAAGATGATGTAAATTCTAACATCAAAACAATGTGGGGAAGGGCAGTAAAAATATAGACCTGTTGTACACAAAGTTGTCATCAGCTCAGTTAAACAGACTGTTATAAGATATTCTACTTAAGCCTTGTTACAACCACCAAGCAAAAATATTTAGTAGCTACCACACAGAGAAAGGATTTAAGCAACACAACTGCAAAAACTAGCAATCTACAAAGGAAGACAGCGAGCAAGAAAAAAAAAGGATCTATAAAACAACTATAAAGTCCTTACCTCTTAATGATTACCTTGAATGTAATTATTCCAGCTATTTTATTGAATTAAATTCTCCAAAGGACAAACAGTAATTTAATGAATAAAAAGAAACAAGAGCTAACTGTATGCTGCATATAAAAGATTCACCTCACTTTAAGAGCATATACATTGACAGTGAAGGAAAAGAAATTCCACACAAATGAAAACCAAAAGAGAGCAGGGGTAGTCATACATATGACAGCCAATGTTAATTTTCAATCTAACTGGATTAAGAAACACCTAGATTAGTAAAGCACATCCCTGAGGGGCTCTGACCTAATGGATGGTATTACCTTGAAGGACTCATAATATGATGGCAGTAGTAGGTCAAATGGGTGCATGTCCTTGAAGGCTATACATATTTGGGCCTCTTCCTGTATTCTCCTTTACTTTGCTCCCCGTCTAACACGAGGAGAAGAATTTCCTCAGTCTCAGGCTCCCACTGCCATGATGTCCTGCCCAATGTCACAGTGTCAAGCAACTACGAACTGAACACTCTGAAACTGTGAGCCAAAATAAATAATTCCTCCCTTAAGTTGTTCTCTCAGGAACTCAGGTAACAGAAACACAAAAGTACATAATACAACTAACACTAGACAAAGTACTGTAAGTAGAAAACTGTAAGCAAAAAGAAAGGCATTACATTATGATAGAGGGTTCAATTCACAGGAAGATATAACAATTCTAAGTATACATGCACCCAATATCAAAGCACATAAAGATACAGAAAACACGTGAGACTCTATCTCAAAAATACCCAACAAAAGAAAGGGCTGGTAGAGTGGCTCGAGCAGTACAGTGCCTGCCTAGCAAGCATGAGGATCTGAGTTCAAACCCCAGTGCCACCAAAAAAAATACAGAAAACAAATACTAAAGGATCTGAAGGGGGAGATAGGTTTAAATGTAGTAATTGTAGGGGACTTTAATATCCCATTTTCAATGGTGGCCAGAAAATTAATAAGGTAGCATGCATTTTTAAAAATCTTTTTGCAGTAGTAAGATTGGATTCAAGGCCTTGTACTTGTTAGACAAGTACTCTACCAATTGAGCCATGCCAGCCCTCAGAAAATTAATAAGGAAACTGGGCTTAAGTAACACTTTAGGCCAACTGGACCTAACAAACACATAAAGAATATACACAGAACATTCCATCCAACATCAGAAGACACAGCCATGAACATTCATTCTCCAGGATACATAACCTATTAAGGGACACTCACACACACACACACAGCCTTAGTAAATTTAAGAAGATTGAAATTATGTCAATCTTAATCATATAAATCCAGAAATCAATAAAAGGTAGAATCTGGAAAACAAGTATGTGAAAATTAAACAACAGACTCCTGAACTGAGTCAATGAAGAACTTAAAATATGAACAAGGAATAACAACTAAAGCAATTGTAGGCAGACAGGTTATAGGAATAAGGAAGACCTCAAAAACTTAATATTGCTACTGAAGGAATTAGAACAAGCTAAGCCCAAAATTAGCACAAGGAAGGAAATAAAGATCAGAACTGATACATTTAAAACCCCTATAAAGATTAGAAAAATTTAAAAGATCAACAAAACTATGAGTAGGTGTTTTGAAAGGGGAAAACAGAGAAGACTCAAAATCAGAAACAAAAGAGAGACATTACCACTGATACCACAGAAATAAAAGACCATTGAGAGAATAATAAACAATTATATGCCTACTAATTGGGTTACCTAGAAGAAATGAATAAATGTCTGGACATATACAATTGGTATATGAATAATGAAGAAACAGAAAATCTGAATAACCAAAACGAGTGAGGAGATTAAATCGGTAGTAAAAGTTCTGGCATCACAGAAAAGAGCAGGACCTACTGGCCTCACTATTGAATTCTACCAAATGTTTCAAGAACTGATACCAATTCATCATCAATTCTTCCAGTAATTGAAGAGGAAGAAATACTTCCACATTCATTTTACAAGGCCAGCATTACCTTGATACCAAAGCCAGAGAAGGACATTGCATTAATACAAAATACAGGTCAATATCCTTGATAAACACAGATGCCAAAATCCTCATCAAAATAAAGCAAACCAAGCCAGGCACAGTGGCTCATACCTGCAATCCTAGCTACTCAGGAGGCAGCAATCAGGAGGATCGCAGTTCAAAGCCAGCCCAGGCAAACAGTTCTGGAGACCCTGTCTCAAAAATACCTAATACACAAAAAAAGGGCTGGTGGACTGGCTCTAGGTGTAGGACCTGAGTTCAAGTCGCAGTACGCCAAACTATATATATCTCAAACCAAATTCAAAAGCACTCACCATAATCGAGTGAGATTTATCCTTGGAATGTAAGGAAAATCCAATATACACAAATCACAAATCAACAGATAATCACTTTAACAGAATGAAAGACAAAAGGCATATGATAATTTCATTTGATTTTTTTGTCAGAAAAAGCACCTGACAAAATTCAAAGTCGTATCATAATAAAAACTCTGGCCAAATCAGGTATATAAGGAATTTATCTCAAGACAATAAAGGCTATATCTGAGAAGCCCACATCCAACATCAAACTCAACCGTGAAAAATCAAAGCCTTTTCTCTAAGACCAGAAACAGATGAGGATGTCTATTGTTGCCACTTCTATTTCACAGAGTATTAGAAGTATTAAAGCAATTAGGCAAGAGAAAGAAATATAATGCATCCAAATTGGGGGGGAAAAGGGAGTGAAATAGCCAGTTTGCTTAGAAGATCTTATGTATAAACACTTTAAAGACTCTATCAAAAAGCCATGAGATCTAATAAAAATATAAAGTTACAGCACACCAAATCAATCAATAAAACCCAGTAGTTGCCATACACTAACAAAACACAATCTGAAAAGTGAATCAAGAAAACAATCCTATTTTCAAAAGCTACAAAAACTTAAAATATTTAGAGATAAATTTAACCAAGGAGGTGAAAGACCTGTGTAATGAGAACTACAAAATATTGATGAAAGAAACAGAAGACACGAATAAATGGAAAGATATCCTAAGTTCATGGACCGGAATAATTAAAATATCCACACTACCCAAAGTGATCTACAGATTCAATGCAATTCCTACCAAAATTCCAATGTAATTCTTCATAGAAACAGAAAAAAATTAAAATTTATTTGGCATCACAAAAGACTCCAAAAAGCCAGTTATCACAAAGCAAGAAGAAAACATCATCAGGAGGTATCACACTACCTTATTTTGGACAGTACTACTAAACCATAAAACAGTATGGTGTTGACAAAAAAAAATGGACATATTTTCTGGGTGCTGGTGGCTCACACCTGTAATCCTAGCTATTCAGAAGGCAGAGGTCAGGAGAATCATGGTTCAAAGCCAGACCCAGGGAAATAGTTTGCAAGACCCTATCTTGAAAAAATACCCAACACCACCCCCTCAAAAGAAAGGGCTGGCAGAGTGGCTTAAGTGGCAGAGTGCCTGCATATCAAGCATGAGGCCCTGAGTTCTAGCCCCAGTGCCACAAAAACAAACAAACAAAAAAACTGAACATATCAACCAATGAGACAAAATAGAGAGTACAGAAATGAACCTATGCACAGATAGGCAACTGTTTTTCAACAGAAGTGTTAAGAATGTACAATAAGAAAAGGCATAATGTCTTTAATAAATGGTGTGGGGAAAATGGATAGCCACATGCAGAAAAATGAAATTATACCTATGTAAAAAATCAACTTAAGATGGATTAAGAACTTTATATAAGACCAGAAACTGTAAAAGTGCCAGGAGAAAATGTAGGGGAATGTCAGGCATATGTCTGTAACTCCAGCACTCACGAGGTAGAGGCAGGAGAATTGCAAGTTTGAGGTTAGCCTAGGCTATACAGCAAGACCTTTTCAGGAAAGAAGGAAGGGAGAGATGGAGGGAGGGAGGAAAGCAGGAAAGAAAGCAGGAAGGGAATGGAGGGAGAGGAGAAAGGAAGCGAAAAAGACGAGAAAGAGACGGGAGGTGGGGTGGGAAGGAGAGAGAGAGAAAGAAAGAAATGACAAGTGACATTGGTCTGGACAATGAGTTTTTGGATTTAACCCCCAAAACACAAGCTTTTAACAAACATAGAATTAGTCGGGGTGTGGGGGCTTATGCCTGTAATGCATATTTAAGAGGATGAGATCACAATTCAAAGTCACCCTGGATAAAAAAGTTAGTGAGACTCCATCTCAGTCAATAAGCTGGTTGTGATGGCATGTGTCTGTGACCGCAGCTAATCAGGATGGCGTAGGATTAGCTAAGAGGATCACAGTCTAAGGCCAGCCTGGGAAAAAACACAAGATCCTACCTAAAAAATAACTAAAGCAAAAATGGCTGGAGGTATGGTTCAAGTGGTAGAGCACTTGCCAAGAAAGCATGAGGCTCTGAGTTCAAACCACCCCCACCAAAAAAAGGGGGAGGAAAAAAATTAGAGAAACTAAAGAGTTTCTTCACAGCAAAGGATACAATTCATAGTGTAAAGAGAATTCTATGGATTGAGAAAAAATATTTGCACATTGTGTATGTCTATTTAGATACTAATATCTAAAATTCATAAGTAACTCAAACAACAGCAAGACAACAACACCCAAAAACAAATTATAAAATAGGCAAGGAGGCCCAAATAGATAATTCTAAAATGAAGGTACACAAATGACCAACAGAGGAAAAACAATGCTCAACATTACTATTCATCAAGGAAATGAAAAACACAACAACATATCACATTACACTGTCAGAATGACTGTTACTAAAAAGATAAAAAAAATAAGTCAAGGATGAGGAGAAAAGGGAACTCTTCTGTAGTATTAATGGTAGTGTAAATAAGCATAGCCAAATGGAAAACTGTAATTTCCCCAAAAAACTAAAATTGAAATCACTATATGCTCCAGAAATCCCTCTACTGAGTATTTATCCAATGGAAATAAAATCAGAATACTGAAGAGATATCCATAATCACATGTTTGTAATATCTAAGAAATGGAAATAATCTAAGTATCTATCAACAAAAAAATGAATAAAGAAAGTGTGATATAGATAGATAGATGGCCTTAAAAAAGAAGTTTAGTCATTTGTGATAATGTAGATAGAAGTGGAGAACACTATGATAAGTGAAATAAGTAAGGTACATAAAGACAAATATTGCATATTATCACTTATTCATGGAATCGAAGACAACTGAACTCAAAGAAGCAATTAATAGAAGGTGGTTACAGAGGAAGGGGGATGGAGGAAATGGGGAGATGATGGCCAAAGCGTACAAAATTTCAGGCAGGAGGAGTAAGTCTTTTTCTTTTCAGAGCTATTGTAGAACATGGTGAATATAGTTAATAATATAGTTAGTTACACTATACTTGAAAATTGCCAAGAGAATATATTTCAAATGTTCTCACCCCAAAACATGATAAACACTTGATGTGATAAATATGTTACTTGGCTTGATTTAATTGCTCCACATTATACTCATAAATCAATTTTTACCCCATAAATATGTACAGTTTTAACCTGCCAATTTACAGTAAAAAAGAAAAAAAAATCCAGAATTTAAAACCTAAAGTTCAATGACTCTGCTCCTTAAAAGCAATAGACCTGATGACTGACGGTCACCGTAACTGTGGCTCATTGTATCCAATGTTCATCATTTAGCCACTGCTGATTGATGGTAATATGACAAGATCACCCAAACCACTAAAGAATACACTTCCACTTACACATAACTATCTGTTATTGAACATACGAAACTATGGAAATCTACCCAGTCATTTTACAAAATTAAATTAACATATAGAGTAAAACCAAAGAGAGCTCAGAAGAATTAAGCCAATCTTATGCACAGCATAGGTAAAACATTAAAATAAATATAAGCAGCATATGATCTAGCTGTATATTTAAGGACTAACATATCATGAGCAAATAAGGTTTATCCTATCTACAAATGCAGGAACATGAGAAAACTTATCCTATGTGAAGAATTTAAGCAAAATATATAGGATCATTTCAAGACATTCAAGAAAATTAAGCATATTTTAAGACTCTTTATTAAAAAATATGATCAGAATGGCTCTTCCTAAATCTAATTAAGAATATTTGACACCTACAGAAACATATTTAATAGCTAAACATTAGAACAGTACCAACAGGTTTCAAAAAAGTTTTCAAATTCTGATAAAGGTCCTATTGAATGCAGTTATTTATTTAAATATTTATTTATTGATTTCATTTGGCACTGGGGTTTGAACTCAGGGCCTTGCATTTGCTAGGCAGGCACTCTACCACTTTAACCCCCTGAATGCAGCTTTTTAAAAAGATAAAACAAAATGAAGAGTTAAGATGATATGGAGAGAGAAAAGCTATATATATTTATTATCAATTTGTAGAATTCAATACTTTAACATATATCAGAATATATAGAAACCATTTAGAAAGTCATAGAACAAAATATTCCTATTCATAATACCAATAAAATTTATGAAGCACTAAAGAAACTTATTAACAAGAAATATTTTCTTAAATGGGAGATTTCTGAATTATCTTTTAAAAGAAAATGAAACATTACAGAGAACATACAATAAAAAAACAGATTTAGCACATTCAAAAATACATTCAATATTGTTAATATGCAAATAGTATTTCTTGAAAAGCAATAATAAATGCTAAATAAAATGTGGCAACTGTCCCTTTAAAGGTATGCCAACCTTAAAGATGATGCAGAACCACTGCAATGGTTAGGAAGCAGAAATTAAGAGGGGTAAACCTGCTCAAAAGCAAGAGTTTCCCTCAGGATATGTGCTGACTTTAACTGCCTAAAAGTTTGTGTCTTAATTGTCTGAAAAATCCAAAGAACAAGTCCTTGGGCCCATAAAAGAGCAGGAATTAAGAAAAAACCTTCTTATAAAAGTGGGACTATCCAAGACCTATAGTTCAGAGAAAGGGAAAAAAATCTATTTGATCTTAAAGGAAAATGACAAGGAACATCTCAGTCCTGGTCTAGCCTCTCAATGAAAAAGCGGAAAAAAATACTATACTTTTTCATTACACAAGAGCCCCAATCCATATAAGATACAGAAAAAACAGACCTGTTCCCTAGAACTGGAGTTTTTAAATGACACAAAACATAAATGCTTGAATTATATGAAAGCACTGCAAGAAAGATGTAAGTTAAAAAAGATCTGGAAGAGGGGGAGAATATCAAACTTACAGAAATTAAACTATGTGATCAATTATATTAAAGTTTTAAAAAGAAAAAAGGATTTTAAAAGCAATCAGAAAAACACAGATTACTTACAAGGAAACAACAATGAAACAGATGGCAGATGTCTCAAGAACTACAGTAGAAGCCAGAATAGCAGGGTATCTTCAGAGTGCTGAGAAAAGAAGAATTATCAGTGTAGCATTTTATATTCAGTTAAATCATAAGGCAAGAATGACAGTAAAACAGGTTATTTACAACAGAAATAAAAACTTAGAGCATTTACTAACAATAAGTCTTCATTAACATACTTCATGATAAACAAAATGATCCCATAAAGAAAGCTTGATGGAAGAATAGTGTGCAAATTAAAGAATAATTATGTGAATAAATCCATTATAAAACAAAAGTAATGCCCACTGTGGAAGTTTAAAAGAGAACAGAACTAAAACAGACAACAAAAACAAGTTAGATGAGAGAAATCTGTCAATAAAGCTCTCTTCAGATCTTTTTTATTGTCCTGGAGGAGGACAGCCATTAATTTTAGCCTTTGTTAAATTAACTATAAATTTGTTAGGTTATACAAAGAATAATAACGACTTAACCACCCAAACAGATAGTAACAGCAGCAATGGTCTTTCTTTTTGTAACCTATAAATTCACAAAGATATCTTTAGTAATAATATCCAGTGTTGAAAAAGAGGAGTTTTTTACTGCTAGTACACTCCTAATTAGAATTCTATGACAATGAAATATATAATTTATGTAGAAATGTAAAATTTTCACCTCTCTATAGCACCTCACCTCATTGCCAAAATGGCTACCAATTTATTTCATGGTATACACTGTCCTATCTATCGGTGTTTTCAACTTGTTGGTCTTGAAATCCTAGGGGTGGGAGAAGGGCATATGGTTCATTGCAAGATCCCTACAGAGTAGTAGATGAACAAAATATTTTATGTAGATTGAATAAATGTTTTAATATCCATTAAACGTATACATTTTCAAGCACTACTACAATTAATGAAAACTACACAATTTCATTTGCACAAAAAGGAAAAAGGTACACATAATAAAAAATTAAATGTACCTTTAAAAGCTTAGAGTGTGAATCTTCCAAACCAAACAAGATGGAGTTGTAAATTAAACAATGGAGTTTACAGCTCAGTGGTAGAGCATAGCCTAGCATGTACAGACCCTAGGTTCAATCCCCAGCATTGGAATAAAAAAATTAAACAACATAACGGTATTCATCTTGATTAATGGCTCAAGAGGTAGAGTAAGTGTGAAGCTTTGAGTTAATACCCCAGCTCTGCCCCCTCCCCCAAAGAAAAATCTCAACCAAACAAACAAAAAAAAACCCACACTGATTAAAGAAACAAGAATAAAACAGGAAGTGTAGAAAATTAAGAGTAAACAGAAAGCATAAAATAGAAGAAAAATAACCCAAGCATATTAGTAATAATAATCAAAGGTAATGAACCTTAAAATAATGTTTTATTGCAGTGGTTATCAAACATTTCTAATAGCTGAACAACCTAAGGAGTTTCAAAATATATTGATACGTGTTCTTATGCTGAAAGATTATTATTTAATAGGCTGGAGTGTGACTTGGGTTCTGGATTGTTTGTTTGTTTGTTTGTTTTTGATACAAGGTCTTGCCATGTAGCACAGGCTGGCCTCAAACTCATTGTGCCACCCATACTACCCTCAAACTCAAGATTCTTGTGCTTTAGTCAGAAAGTGCCGGGGTTACAGGTATTCACCACCATGCCTGGAACCTTTTTAAATACTCCAGCTATTTCTGAACTGCATACAAGTTTGGAAACCATTTCCACACTGTTTTTCACAGTCATTATGCCAATTGATTCCACCATAAAAGCAGTATAGAGCACTTGAAAACAAAACAGCTCTATTGGGATATAATTCATATACCTACAGTTCAAAGTGAACAATGCAATGGTTTTTAGTATACTCAAAAAACTATGTAACAGTCACTACACCCTCATCTTTTAACATTTCATCACCCCTAAAAACAATGTTGTCTCTGTCTATTAGCAAACACTTCCTATTTCCCCACTCTGCCTTCTTCATTATCCATACTGACCCCCTTAAGAGTAATGAGTAATCTACTTTCTATCTCTATAGATTTGTCTATTGTGGACATTTACATAAATACAATAAAGTAATGTAATGCTTTTTGTCCACCTTCTTCCCTTAAGCATGCTTTCAAGGTTCATCCATGTTGATACATGTATCAGAACTTCATTCTTTTTACTGCTGAATAATATTCCATTGTAAGGATATGCCAAGATGGCATGGTGATACATTCCTATAATCCCAACTACTTGGGAGGCATAGATGGGAGGAACTTCAGTTTAAGGCCAGCCCAGACAAAGTTAATGAGACCTTATCTGAAAAAACAATTTTTTTAAAAAAGGGCTGGGAAACACACCTTAATTGGTAGAGCACTTGCCCAGCAAGTGAGACTCTGGGTTCAATTCCCAAAATGAAAAGAGATACCAAATTTTATTCATCCATTCATCAGTATGGACTCTTGTGTTGCTCCACCTTTGTGGGTGTTGGGTGTACAGCACTTCTCCCTTGAATACTGCAAATGGTGGTACTATCAGACTGATGTGCTCGCTAAGCACAACATGTGAAGTATTACCTACTATTTCATTTGTATTTTCTGATTCCTAATGAAGTTGACCACTTTTTCATAAGCTTACTGGCTCTTTCCATTTCTTTAAACTGCCTATCAATATCTTTTACAGATTTTTTTCAAAATAGTTATTTACCTTTTTCTTACAGGAGCCTTATCTACTCTAGCTATTGTTTCACTATTACCTATATGCACTGTAAGTATCTTCATGTAATTCATTGCTTGTCTCTTACTTTCTGGTGTCTTTTGATAACAGAATAATATTCATGCGGTCAAATTTATCAGCGTAACTACACGAAACCTAAAAGGAAATAATTTGGTTATTGCTCAAATCTCTTCCTTTATGAGTATCTTATTGCCATTTTTGTGACTTAATTTTTATTTTTGTAAAAATGTCAGCAATAGTGTCTATCCACCTCTAATAATTGCAATATGAAAAGTTTTTGCTAAATAATCTGTTGTTTCTTTAGATTATCTATCACTCTTCTGTAAACCTGTTTCCTGGCAGGTATGGTAATCTTTGTGAGCTCACCTTTTGTTGATCTTAATTCGTGAGAATTCTAAAGTCCTCTTACTTTTCTCCAGAAGAGGTCTGCGTTTGCTTCAGCCAGGAGTCAGAGGGCACCACCTTAGAGAATAAAATTTTAGCTATGTTTTTTAATTGCTTAACTGTCTTTACTTTTATTAGCCTATCACTCACTTTTCTCTAGACATGTTTTTCCATTCCTCCTACAAAGTTAACACCCACCCCAAGGTCTTTACAGTTATTACTCCATCTTCCTAGGATATTTTTCTCCAGTGGAGGGGAAGCTGAAGGGAATATGCCACAAAGGAGGCAATAGAGCAAACAGACTTGAAAGCTTCTGACATGGGACAGCAAAGAAAGTGATGATTCCGAAGTCTAACATGTTCTGAATTATTACTGCTGCTGTAGATATTTTCTGCACCTAAGACTGGGAATTAACAAAGTCAATGCAATATACCAATTAAAAGAAACAGGATCTATAAGCACCCTGTAAAATAAATATGTAAGCTGTATATCATATCATCTTAACAAATGTTAAGCTTCTCTTTTGTATCTATTAAGGAATAAGAAAAATAATGGGGAAATTTTTCTGTAAAATCCTATAAAATCAGATTTGTATAATAATGAAGAATTTATGGAATTACTGTATCAGTGTATTATATTATAAGCAATTTCTGTGTCATCAATAATTTAATCTTTCTTATAGGCTCCAGAACAGCTCCATATAATGAATATATCTGATTTAATAAGTGCTCATATTACAAAATTTTAGGTTATATAAACTTATAAGCATTGCTTAGTTTCTAGTTATGCAGGTGACTGATGATCTTTCTTATTACTACGCATCACTCCTAAATGTAGTTTTTCATCATTCTCAGAAAGAGAAACATAGGGAAGAAAACCAACATATACATTCAAGATCATCACATATTGGGCTGGTGGAGTGGCTCAAATGATAGACTGCCTACCTAACAAGCACAAGGCGCTGAGTTCAAGCCCCAGTAAAACCACCCAAAACACAAAAAAACCATGAGCACATAATGTTGAATTCCTCTTTCTTTCTTTCAATTTTTAAAAGGCACCTTTTTAAAAATTAGCTTTTCAATCATATGGAAAGAAACCAGTGGAGAGTAAGGAACATCCTTAAAAACAGTTCTGATATAGCAATGGTCACTACTACAAATTATAAGCAGGTACAAAATTTTATATTAGCAGAGAGCCAAAGGATTGTATGACATAGCTCTGTAAAGAAATGCACTTTCTGTGAGGAAGAATGATGGAGGGGGTGAAATTTAACAAAGATGCATTATAAACATATATGGAAATGTGATAGTGAAACCCCCCTATACAACTAATATTTGCTAATAAAAATGTTTTTTAAAAAAACAAAAATGCTCTTTCTTAGATAGGATTTCCTTTCATTAGCAGCACAGTTCTAAGTACTCACTCGCTTCATAAATATTCATTAAAAAAAAAAAGCCAGGCTGGGCACTGGTAGCTACTCAGAAGGCAGAGTTCAGGAGGATCATGATTGAAAGCCAGTTCGGGCAAATAGTTTGTGAGACCCTATCTTGAAAATACCCATTACAAAAAAGGGCTGGTGGAGTGGCTCAAAGTGAAGGCCCTGAATTCAAGCCCCAGTACAAAAACAAAAAAAAGCCAGGGGGGAAAAACTCAGAACAAGAAAACCCCACAACCATCAGATTCATACAAAGATAATCAAATACAAAAAAGCAAGACTCAACCTACCTAATATAATACCTAGTATTTTACCAAATCAGTCATATTGGAAAAGTGAGACCTCCGTGGAAATGATGTTGAATTTCAAAATAATCAAATTAATTGGTGTTTACCAATTATCATTCCTAGAAAGATGCCTGATCTGTATTCAGTCCCTAGTCATGTGACTACTCTTAGCTTATACAGCATGCTCGGTTCCTGTAAACCAGCACTCAGGAAGCAGAGGAGAATCCCAGTTCCAGGCCAGCCTGGGCTACATAGTAAGATCCTATCTCAAAAAACAACCAACCAACCCCTCTCCAAAAAAACCCAAACAAACAAAAACATGAGCTTTTGCCACATACTGAGACTCAGCCCAGTTAAGACCAACTACTATCTTGTCTAATTAGGAAATAAGGGACTGAAGAGAAATTCAAAGATTTAGGTGTGTCTTTTGACATCCTTCTCTATCTTTGCTATATCAGTGTTCCTGGTCACAGATGCTCAATAGATTGTTGATTTAGTATGTAACAATAGGTTAGATTAGAAAACGAAGACACAAATTGAGGAGCATATTCCCAGTCAGATAGGTTTCAGACTCAGGAATGTCAACACACATACACACTGTAAAAAAATAACTAAAGAGGGCACAAAGAAATAGCACTTCACCTGAGGCATGGTTTTTATAGCTGCAAGAAATGACCAGTCCTCTTCTGGGTTCCTATCTTAGAGAAGTGCAGAGTCTGGAAAAGGCAGAACTGGGGAGGAGAAAAAAGCACCATGAGAGCAGGTATTTTGCAAAGCTCCACATAATTAAGTTAGAATTATCTTTGTTGCTCTTTTCTTCCTGTCTCTTAGACTACTCCAAAATACAGGTGCTGGCTCTTACCCCAAACTCAATGCTATCTATATGCAAAAAGAAATTATAATTTCTCCAGCATTTCTGAAATGAAATTTATAAATAACATGAATTATATAAAAAAGAGATAATCATCAAAGTAATGATCATATACAACTGCATTAGAAGGTACAAATAATTAAATGCTTGTGTGTACAACTATTTATAATGAACAAACCAAAAACCTGAACCTGGTCAGTTGCAGTGGCTCACACCTGTAATCCCAGTTACTCCAGAGACAGAGTTTGGGAGGATCAGCCTGGACAAAAAGCAACCAATAAGCTGTGCAGCCACCTGGGAGGTAGTCCAGGCCAACCTGAGCAAAAATGCGAGACTCTATTTGAAAAATAAGGAGCTGGGGGCATAGCTCAAGTGGTACAGTGCTTCCTAGTAAGCACAAGGCCTGAATTCAAATCCCCATACAGCAAAAAGAAGTAAACAACAACAACAAAACCAAAAGTGCATTATATACCAGTTTATTACAAGAAATACACAGAGGAACATGTTAAATGACACCACAAAAAGGCAATCAACAAAATCTAGATGATGAATAACTCTCCAAGGAAACTGTTCCTAGAATGAATAAACTGCAAAAAAGAGAGAAAGAGTGGAAGAACCTATAGATTTTAAAAATTTAAGAAACATTGTCACACTATACAAGTAGACATTTTTTGGATATTGATTCTAATAAAACATACAAAATATTTATAGACAATGGGGAAATTTGAACACTGGCTATTTCATAACATTAAGATAGTATTGACTCTTTTTCTTTTAAGAAGTGATGAAACTATGGTAATATAATTAAAAACTTTTGAGCCCCAGGACTCAAGAGGCAGAGATAGGAAGAGCACAAGTTCGAGGCCAGCTTGGGATAAATAGTGAGACCCTGTCTCAAAAAAATCAAAGCCTGGAGATTAGCTCAATGGTGGAGCACTTGCATGTATGTGCACAAGACCCTGCAAAAATAAACAAATAAATATTGAATTAATTAATAAATAAATGCTAGGTGCCAGTGGCTCACATCTGTAATCCTAGCTACTTGGGAGGCTGAGGGGAGGATCATGGTTCAAGGCCAGTCTTGGCGAATAGTTCAGAAGACCTCATCTTTAAAATAACCAGAGCAAAATAGACTGCAAATGTGGTTCAAGCAGGAGAGTACCTGCTTTGCAAGTATGAAGCCCTAAGTTCAAACCCCAACACTGCCAAAAAAAAAAGGCAAAAGGTTTGTTTTATCTTCCAGAGATATGCATTAAAATATTTACAGGTAAAATTATATATGTGAATTTTCTTCATGATAATCCATGGGTTTTTTTTGTTTTGTTTGTTTTTTTGAGAGGAGGGAAAATAGTGGAGTTCATCTACAGGATGAAATATATTTAACCATAAATTGATTATTTGTTGAATGAGTGATTGGTAGAGTACACAAAGAAGCAGTATACTATACTTTTTACTTTTGTATGTTTAATTTTTTTTCATAAAAAGAAGTTTAAAAAAAACCTGAAGCACAGATTCTACATATGAACAATTCATTCCAGAAGACAGTTATTTTGGTAACTGTTATTTTGTTTTTGGGTCTCTCTTTTCATATTTCCTAAATTATACTGAAAAAAACATGCACTACTTTGATATCAGAACACAAAAAAACAACTTCCTGATATTCTGAATAAGAAAATGCAATAATTTTTTAAAAAGAGATTCTCAAGCTTGGGGTGTTCCATGTGCAAGGCTCTGGCACCAAATAGAAAAGAGATAGCAAATACTTACCTGGCAGGGGAGATATCATAGTCAAGAAAAGTGCCAGACACACACACACACACACACACACACAGACATTGATTCTCACTAAATTTGGAGGAAAAAAGTAAAAACAGTATAAATTGTAAGACAATTTAAATAAATATGTAATGGAGGAAAAGGTAGGGAATAGAGTAAAAAATGACCAATGTTATTTTACTTATCAGGTGACCTTATCAAATGCTTTCAGGTCTATTGAAAGTGTATTCCTTTCCTAATAAACTTTGACTACAAAAAAACCCCCCAAAACAAAATACTATGTACCTAATAATAAAGCTTCAAAATACACAAAGCAGAAACAGATAGAAGTGATAAGGAGATATATATTCAACAAATAAACAGATAATCAGTAAACATATAGAAGATTTATTTATTTATTGTGATACTGAAGTTTGAACTCAGAGTCTTCACCGCGAACCACTCCACCAGCTTAATTTTTGTGAAGGTTTTTTTGAAATAGAGTCTCGTGAACTATTTTCCTGGGGCTGGCTTCAAACCTGGATCCTGGATCCTCCTGATCTCTGCCTCCTGCATAGCTAGGATTACAGGCATGAGCCACTGGTGCCCAGCAGAAGATTTATATAACATTGACAATTTATCTGACCTGGCTGATATTTACAGAACATGCTACCCCAAAACAGAAGAAAACAGTCTTTTCAAGTACACATAAAACATTTACTAAGATGCAACAAATTTTAATAAATTCAAAGGGATTCAAGTCATGCAAAGTGTACTTTCTGAACACAATGGGATAAAAATCATTTCCCATTTCTGAAATAGCCTCAAAATACCTGAATACTTGAAAAGGAAACACATATTAAAATAGCCCATGAATCAAAGAAAAAAACAAAAGAGAAATGAGAAAGGATTTTTGAATGTTGAGCATGGTGGTACATGACTGTAATCTCAGCACTCAGGTGGCTGAGGCTGGAGGATCACAAGTTCCCAACTATCCCAGGCTACAAAATGCATAATGAGAGCCTGTCAAAAAAGAAAAAAAAAAGAATGTTGTTGTGTCAGAAGTAACATGGCTCTTATTTTCGAATTCATGTATATCTATTCCATTCTTATTACACTTAACCACTGTTGGGAAACATCCATCATAACTACTCATTTTCTTTGCTCTCAAACTACAAAAAAAAAAATGCCTTTTCCCTCCATCATCTGAAAAGACTTAAGACATTTCAAAAAGAAAGAAAAGTACATGATATACCTGTTTGAAAACAGGACGAAATACATTATAGGATGGATAGAAGGAAGAAAGGAAGGAAGGAAAGAAATAAAGATTATTATGTTACTATGTCCTCAAAAGAAAAGGCAGTTCAGGAAATAAAAAGGAATCCATTTACTTACCTTGAACCTTGCTTTTGAATGTACAATAGCCATTTTCCTCCTCTGCACTCTACCCTCAGAAAAAGAAAACAGAATGAGATGCTATGCCTTTCTTGGAGTATGCTTTAATTAGAACACACCTTCTTCCTCTATCCACATAATCTACTCCTCACTAATATAAGGGAAAATCAGAAGAAAACTAGAACAGTCCCACCCCTTCTCTACTGGGAAATGGCCAAAATCAGGCCGTCTTAGGCATGAATTTGTGGACTCAGAACTGTCCACTGGAGACAGTTCTGCAATGCCATGCTACAGGTTCTAAAGTGTGTGGCTAGTTCCTATAGCACTCCCTCCCCATGCATCTCCATTCCGGAACCCCATTTCATTTCCAAGTGGCCTGTTTCCAATGTGCTCTCAGCTCTTAAAATTCTCAAGTTCAGGTCTGTAGCTCCTTTTAAACTTCACTCAGAGACTCAAATATTTGACTTTTTTCTTCTTGCCAGTTCCCTTAAGGCCATAAGATAAGAGACCTCTGGGAAGCAGCAGCAACCCTACAACTACAATTCCCAGGTGAAATGAGGATGGATACAGGAATGAAGCCACACAGGTCACTTGTGAATGGGTAACCAATAGGGTCAAAACAGAGGTCACATTCTTAAGTCTTCAGGAGGGACAGAAAAATCACATGGGACTCATATCCATAGATAGACTCAGCCCCAGAATGATCCCAGAAACATCAAAATGAAATTTTTACCGCTGTAACCCACTAAACTACCATAAGATGACAGTCTAACAAATACAAACGACCACACCAAGTCACAGGCAATCGCACTTTCACAGTCACAACAGCCAGAGTCACAACCATCGGGTACACTGCTAGAAACGCCCTAGTTTTAAACAGAATACAATCACACACGGGCAGGAATAAAACACTAGCACTTTGTCAGGGACTGACACTGTCACTGACCCCCTTTCTCAGCGGCACTTTTACTTCACAGTCATGTAAACAACACACACACAAAGTCCCACAGTCACACACATAGCCACCCAGAGAGCCAAATACAACACAGTCACCAACACCGTCATAAATGGACTTCACAGGCAAACCCCAGTGACACCGAGAACACCGGACACAAGCACCATCACTCTGTCACTACCGCACAGTCACGCAGTTATGCACGTAGGACACACACACACAGTCAGGTGAACACACGGCCACCAACTCCTACCCAATCCTCCGTCACACACGCCCCGTTGTCTGGCAAGCTGTCGCGCCCACACCAACCGCAGGAGACGCGACCACACGCGTAATTCCTGCGACGCTTCCTCCGGCCTTTTCCGCCCTAGCACTCCGGCCACTCACCTCAGCCGAAGTGCAGTTCAGGATCCAGGGTCTGCCGCCCGAGTTCCAACCCGATTTCGGGTTGGCTGGCCCGCCCAGCGGGTACCCAACGAGCTCCTCCACAGCCGCGGACCTCTCGCGACGCGAGAACCCCAAACTCTCGCGAGAAAATGGAAATGAAGTTGGGGTCGGGAAGCGGTGACTCTGGGAAATGTAGTCCAGCTCTGGCTGATGGCTAGGTCGCTCTGGGGCTTGATCCGCTCACCTGCAGTGGGATTAGCGGGCTGGGCTGCTGGAACTCGCTGGCAGCGACCATCGCGCCCGGAGACGTCCGGGAAATTCCCGTCGGCGCTCAGAGTGCATGCGTGGGGCGCTCCATTCCAACTGCTGGAACCTGAGCGTTTTAATGTTGTTCCCAGACTGTCTCCTCGCCAGAATAAAAATGTCGGACCCGCCAGCCCGGTAGGTGCTGCTCTGTGCGCCTTGCCTGGCCCTTGCAGTGTGTCAGGTGCACCCGGAGACCTCTGGCCAGGTGTACGATTTCTTCCTGTGTGACTTCTCATGCTGTCGGGTATGAGATGATTTGTACTTGATTGAAACTGTATGGCAATGAGACTTTATAACTTTGGGATTGTCTGACAAAGAGACCTTAATGGTTTGTCTGTGAAGGGTCTTTGTAGTTCTGGTTGTGACCATGATTGAGTAGCTGCTGGTGATGATTTGTGTCATAAATGTACCTTACTAGTCGTGCGTGTTAGCTCACGGCTGTAATCCCAGCAATCAGGAGGCAGAGGCGGACGAATGTCTATTTGGCCAGTCTGGACCACAGAAGTCTGGAAATATCAAGGGCCGAGGATGTAGCTCTGGTACAGCGCTTGCTTAGCATGGGCCAGGCCCTAAGTTCATCCCCACCCCCAGAAGAAGTCCTTTTCTTATGAGCCTGTGCGTGACAGTGAAAACCAATGGTCACGTTACTTCTGCCTTGAATACAAATTTGATAATCTGGAAAAGGTAATTTATCTGAAAAGTAATTTAGACATGATTTTTTTCAATTAGATCAAATATATGTACTATGGAGAAGGATGAAAAATTAACATAGCTGGTTTTCTTGAAAGATGATTCTAAAGTTAGTTGTAGCGTGGCTTCGTTTTTCGCAAGCCTGAACTTGTCTTCACTTGCTCCTGAACACTGTGGCCTGTCCTTCCCCCTGACAGTATTGGGGCTTCTTTTTTGTTGTTTTTGGCGCTACTGTGGTTCGAACTCAGAGCCTCACACTTGCTAGTCAGGCGCTCTACCGCTTGATTCACTCCGTCAGCTGCTCCGTTTTTGTTGTTGAGTATTTTCAAGATAAGGTCTCGCAAACTATTTGTCCTGGCTGGCTTCGAACCGAGATTTTCCTGATCTCTGCCTCCCTATTAGCTAGGATTACAGGCGTGAGCCATCAACACCTGTAGTACTGAGGTTTCTTGAACTCAGAAACTTGTGCTTGCTGCAAAAACTCTACTTGAGACACGCCCCCAACTCCCCCCCCCTTTTAAAAGTAATCATAAACTTATCAACTTCCCACAAGCAGGAGAGTTTTAATTTCATCACTCCTTCAGAAGGGGGGAAAAAAAACTAATAAAACTGAAAAACTAATATTAATGAGCTTTGTCTTTTATCCTTTTCCCTTCCTTATTTTTCTTTCAATATCAATACATTTTGAAGGGGGATAATAATAGGGTTTGAATTCATGGCCTCATGCTTGCTAGGCAAGTGCTTTACCACTTGCGCCATGCACCCCAGCCCTTCCTTCCTTCTTTCCCTCTCTCCCTCCCTTCCTCCCTCCCTTTCTTTTTTCCTAATAGTTTGTTGTTCAGATAGGGTCTCATGATTTTCCCACAACTGGCTTTGGACTGTGATCCTCTTGCCTCCACCTCTGAGTATCTGGGATTTCAGGCCTTCCAACCACCACACCCAGCTTGCTTTTTAAGATAGGTTCTCACATTTTTGTCCAGGCTGGCCATTTCCACTTCCTACCTGCAGATGTGTAACACTATGCTCAGTCTCATCAATTATTTTTGTAATCCAACATATTTTACCCATGATTATCATTATCTTTTGTGTTACTCAAATCATCTTAATTATTAGGTTTGGCCTGTAAGAGTCCTTCAGGCTGGTTCCTATGTCCCCATTTGTCAAGCACTTCTTTTGTTTTTGACACAGATATTCCACCCTTAAGTGGTACATTTCCTATTCTAGACTTGGAATTAGCTACTTTCTGCAGAGAATTTTTGAGATGATTGCTTCCAATAAAGATTCTCAACCAAGAAATAGTTGTAGAGCCAAGAAATAATATGTAGGTTACATGCAATGTATTGTTATGCATCCAATATACTTGGAATTATAAATTTTATTTAATTGGGCTTTTTGTGGTGCTGGGGATCAAACCCAGGGTGATGCACTTGAGGCAAGTGCTCTATAACTGAGCTACTTCCGCAGCCCTGGATTATAAATTGGAAATGAACAAAAACAAAATTTTAAATTTTACTCAGTATTATGTCAGTGACATCTTTTCATGTTGATTTTATATCGTAAGTTTTATATCATAAGTCTGAATGGCTAGATAGTATTCCATTTTTTTAATTTACCACAATTTAAATTATTCCTTGATGAATATTAATGTTGCCATTTTTTTCCAGTACTACAAATAATAGTTCAGTGAACATTCTTCTGCATTGCTTCTGGGTAACTGTCAGGTTGTTTCACCTGAGAAATCAATACAAGTGAAGAGTTAGGTAAAAAAAAAATTACATTTATTAAGTTGCTATAATATCTAGAGTTTCAAATTAGGATCTACAAACTAAAGATTAAAGTCATTTTGAGCCTAGCAATGAAAATACAAACTCTGCTGCACTAAAAGTATTTGAAGTCATTATCAATGTACATTGCATGTTCTGGAATTTGAGAAAAGTATTCTTCCTTCCAGAACTAATTATCTCAAATTCAAAATATAAAGAATCCAAGGGATCTCTTGATTTTAGTGGACCTTATAAAGTTTTCTTTCCTTGCAGCTTTTGTTTGAATGGTCTCAATATTTAAATAAAAAGTTGAAGATAGTTGAATGAGGTGATCAGTAGCTATTCCGGATCACTTGGTTCCATAGGCCTACTTCATAAGTACAGTTTAATAGATTAGCAATGATTCCAACATCAAAAAGCTTAAATAGGCTAGGTGTGGTGGCACACACCTGTAATTCTAGCACCCTGGAGGCTGAGGCAGAAGGATCATGAGTTTGAGGCCATTCTGGGCTACATAATAAGATCCTGTCTTGCAAAAATTCTGTTCTTGGGTGAAATTGAATGCACACCTGCAATTTTATTTTGTGTACCTCACAAAATAAAAAATTCATTCAAGTTTTGGGAACTCAAATCTATTTCATAAAATTCCAGTCATTGTTTAAAAATTATCATGAGTCTATTTCTTATTATTTAAAAATAGATTCCATTTAGCTAAATAGTAAAATTTAAGAAAATGAATGGTAATTATTGAAAATTTTGGAAATAAGATTAAGAAAAACTGAAAAACCACCACTAGTCTCACAATTAAGAAATAACCACATTTTAGGCATATCTTTCCCAGTGCCATCTAAATACTTATATAGTATCAAATGATATTATGTACTACTTACTATTTTGTAATCTGTCTTCCTCACTTTCCCCCTACCCCCATGCTTTGTCTGGGGCCAGTGACCTTCAATACTGCTTTTAACAGGATTGGAGATAATTAATATACAGATTTTTTTTTTTTTGGTGGTGCTGGGGTTTGAACTCAGGGCCTCTGGCTTGATGGGCAGGCAGCGATTGAGCTGCGCCTCCGGCCCCCATATACAGATTTTATATTGGAAAGTAGAGGAAGCTCATCTGACTAGTAGGACACATCTCACAAATTTAAAGTTAACCATCTGGAATATATTTTTCCTCTGGAAACCTATGGAGCCTATGAAGTGATTGCCTGAATTTTTGTTCATTGTTCTTAAAAACTGGGTAGCTGTTCATAGAGTTGTACAGAGATAACTCAGCTTGTAGTTTTATTTTCTAATCCTTCACACCTTCCTCTTGGCGTGATGGTGCACACCTGTAGTCCCAGCATTTCCTGGAATGGCCCACCTCCCGAAGACTATGGAAATGAGTCTCACATGCACTGTTAGAGACTTAACAATTCCTTATCTTTTATTAATTGGAACAAAACTGACCAGTATCTAAACCCACTCTAATTTTCTCTTGGACTATGGGAAGGCATAGTTAAAAGGGAAGAGTTTGATAAGTGGGGAGAAATCACTGACTTTTTTAGTAATGTTAATTGTACAAAATAACAGGTTTCACTGGGTGCCTGCAGCTCACACCTGTAATCCTAGCTACTCAGGAGGCAGAGATCAGAAGGATTGCGTTTGGAGGCCAGCCCTGTGTCGAAAAAACCCACCACAAAAAAAGAGCCGGTGGAGTGGCTCAAGGTGTAGGCCCTGAGTTCAAATCCCAGTACCGCAATGAAAAAATGGCATTTCCATATGTCCATATGATGTGCTTTGATCCTACTCATACCCCTATGACCCACTCTCCTCCCCCTCCTGGCAGTCTGTCTCTTCCCTCTTCCCTTTATCTTTCCCCCTTCTACTTTTGTTTTTTCCGTAATTTCCATACATAAGAGAAAATATGTGATACATGAAATTCACTCTATTACAAAAGAGTCTAACCAAGCTCTTTCAACACCCTGAAGTCCTTTGCCCAACGCCCGGGAGCATCCCGCCCACTCCTCAGAAGAGGGTCGGCTTCAGGAAGCGATCACGGGCCAGAGGCTTCTGGGAAATGTAGTCTACGGAGCTCCCGGCTGCGTAAGGCAACGGCCTCATCAGCGCATTTTCCGGGGTTCAAACCGCTTCCTGCCTGTTCCTGGGAGACTTAAGAAGTCCCAGGTGACAAGGACTCCTTAGACCAAATTCTAACCACGCCTCTTCGGA